GATAGTCCATTGTGGAGCTTTGTGCTTAACTTCAAACAAAGCATCATTTTTTTGTTTCAAACGTTAAATTCAAAAGAAAAACGTCAAGTATCGAATATAATTTAATATCGCGAAATTTACCACTATAATGTCGAATGTGAAAAAAAAACCTCAAAATATTCATGATTGTATTCTTTAAGTGCAAAGGACAACATATGTCATAATACTAATAACTCGCCTATTGTCTATCGTATAAAAACATTTATGCTCACATTATGTAATAAATTACTTCATGACCAGTTGAGAGCTATATTTTAAACTATTTGGACTATCGTCGTGCCAGCTATGTAAATGAAAGGAATATTACCCGAAAGCCAACAATTAAAATACTTGTAGATGATCAACTGACACGTGTAACAGTAAAAGGAAATGCATGATCACGGTATGAGACTGCAAAATTGCTGAACTCATTAAAGGATTTTCTCTTTAAACAGATAAGTATACCTGACTATGTGCTCTAAAAAATTATTACGTTGCAAAGAATCTGGTTTAACCTTTTAGAGGCTGCGTGTTGTGATCAATCTTAATGATCCTGCTCTGCAACAGCATTACCAAAGAACACTCTTCTGTTGTCATTCCATCGAATGCTATTTGAAAACTAATGTTAAACTTGCTGTCTTAAGATCTACCATTCAAGAAAAATAATGAGATACTGGAAATATAACCGAATTTATTTCTACTGGCATTACAAATACACACATTAAATCCTCCAGAACTAACGATAAACACATTAAGTCCAATAAAGCTACCGACACACTAAATCAGTTTTAGTAACTGACCAAGAGATATTCGAAAGGAGAATTGTCGTTCTCGTTACTTTTACCTATTACTCTCAAGCTAAAATATATTGTAGTTTCAAACTTCTCAAAACATTTTCCAAACAAAATCGAAATGCCATAAAGTCCTTTATAAGTTATGATTATATTGTGTTTAAACCTGTGATAAATACGATGTCATTAATTTCTGGTGACAAAATAAATACAGAGAACAAAAGAAAACTATGTAAAATAATAATTTATTTTCATCTGCTAACTTTTCGCCTATAGAATAAAGCAATATAAGTTAACTGACAGAAAACACTATGCACATTGTTTAGTACCGATGTTGTTAATAATTGGGGATATTCCATCTAAAAATGTCAAAGTTGCTGACAGAACTTGTATTGCATTATGAAAACGAAGAAGCATAACGTACTCTAAATAATTCAGATTCATCTTTTCGTAACCTTTTGTTGTTGTTGTTGTTGTTATTGTTTTGCTCTATGAATAATTTTTATCACACTCTTTTTTATGATTACGTGTAAATTGATATTACATATATGTATGTTTCATCATGTAAAAAAAATATTATTCCGCAATGTCAGTTTATAGAGGACACTTGCGTACAAAGCAAAGGAAGAGATGTCAACTGGTCAATCAAAGAGGAAACTTTAACTGTACATAACTGAGTATGAGTCCCGATGCTACTGACACTCGTACCTATGTTCCCCGCTGGGACAACAATAAGATTTCCGAACTAATAACACAAAATTTCGGGCTCGATTCTTCGCGGGGAAAACAGCAGGTAACCCAATGTGGCTTTGTTCTAAAAACAAACAAACAAAGTCTTACCTAAAAAACCACTAAAGCTTGAGATTAGTTTCAATTTTAACTTGTAACTGACAAATGGAAAATGAAGCTCAATGTGAGGATGTTTTCCTTAAGTTTTTAACCTTCCCCTTATTTGTTTTGGAATTATGTAACTTTATATATTGCATTTCTTTTTTTTGTAATTTCTCTCTTTTGTATTTAAAGTTTCAAGAGGATTGTAAGAAAATGCGATACTTCATCTATTTCTCGAATATATGATGAATAGGTAGAAGGATTTATGATATATGCCCCCCAGTGGCACAGCGGTCTGTCTGCGGACTTACAACGCTAGAATCCGGGTTTCGATACCCGTGATGGACAGAGCCCAGATAGCCCTTTGTGTAGCTTTGTGCTTAACTTCAAACAAACAAACAAACGATACATGATGCATGCGAGTTTAACAGACATATAGCCCCTGTTGTCACTTCTCAGTAACACCATCCACGAACTTTCAAAAAATATTAACAATTGCTTGGTTATTACATCGCACAGCTACATAATAGACTGTCTGAACTCTATCCGCCACGGAAATATAACTAGCATAAATGAAGAAATAAAACAAATCTTCATTTACGGTAAACTGTACAAAATTTAACTGTAAGACTGGGTTACTGCCTGGTTTTGGTTTTCGCTTGAACTCTAATGGCTTCTGAAAATACGTATATGTAAGATGAGAACATGATCAAAAAGAAATCATATCGTATGGGATGTGTATGAGATAAATAAAAAGATCTAGAATCATGTAGCTATCTTACCTCTAACTCTGACGAGAACCCTAATTTGGTATTCCTCAATCTCAACTTTTATTAATTTCCACAACTCTCTGTAAAATCCCTTGGAAAGATAATGACAATACTTTAGAAAGCCATGACACAGAACTAAGACCTATCAAGTATACGTCTACGGAACAAGCTTTGTAGCATATAATCTAAGTCTAAGGTAGAGGATTATTACAAGTTTACGACCTTTCTACATCCGGATTACAGAACGCCTGGAAGAAAATTTATAAAACTTACCTGAGTATATCTGAATTAAGATGTATTGTTCACTAATTATAGAAGAGTAAAATATAGTGATATTTCCAATCATCACAGAAGGCTTTTTTTACAGTTAAAGTTTAGAGAAAAAGAAACAAACTGTCCTATATGAAGATTAATATTAATTTCCGATTAAAGCAAGCCATGTTATTAGAGCAAAACTGAAAATCAGTAAAGCTAATTACGTTTCTAATTATAAAGGTAGGATGCATTGTTTCATCATTTGGGTACCTTCGTTATTAACGATATTTTTGTCCGTAATCCTAATAATATCTCTTGAGATTTATAATAAAAGTAGCTTAATAATAAACAATGAATAAAAAGAGAATGTAATGACATTTCATATAATAAATTGTATAACCAGTACTGTTGATAAAAACTATACCTTACTTAGGAAACATAGAAATACTAGATGTCGGTTTGAGCTACTGTCATAGAAACAAATTCGTTTGCTGTTTTTACTACAATACTCCTTAGCACGTCTTTTGATTAAAAATAAAAAACTCATTAAATTACCCATACTATCTAGACTTGGTCATCCTAAGGTTCGAACACCATTTTTTATAGAACGTTTCTGACGCCACTTTGTTATGATCGTGGTATACTCACACTTCATTTTATATTTAATTTTCTTAAGATTGTACTTATTTCTATTGATTGACTCATACTAATTTAAACATAAAACATTTCTGTTTATTACACATAGATTAAAACAAGATTTTGCTTCTTACTGGCAGCATTTTAATTTATTCCTTCGCTCTCACTTCTTCCTGTCTCCTGTTCTGCGGTTAAACAAACCTCTTTAATCAATGGAAACACTAAATTAAGAAATCAACAAATATCACTCCAGTGTTTTTGTTGTTGTTGTTGTTGTTTGTACACTTCATTTTATACTTTCAGTACATAGACTAACAATAATATTAAGTTATACTTTTGTTTCTAAGCGACATGACGTAAAAGCCGTTATTGGAACTCATTGTTACCAAATTGCATTGGCTGATTTTTCGCTAGATGCGTATGCACTTACGAACATGGATAAGTAATAATACTCTGTTGCACACCACTTAGTGTGGGTGCAAAATTTCAGGTTTTTAGATTATTTCCTCTTGGAGCTGTAGTGGGAACACAGACACGCACGTGCGCACGTGCATGCGCATCTTTTTACAGAGGCAACCTAGTGAAAAATCACATAGAAAAGAAGTGGTTCCTTATATAGCAAATTCTAATATATAGAAAAGCCAGTGCGTTTTGGTAATAATGTGTTCCAACAATGGCTTTTATATCATGTTGCTTAGCAATAAAATAATATAGGTTATACCTTTATGCTAAAATGGGTTCAGAATACACACACCATCAACCTAATAACCTAATAAAAGTGGAACCTAATACTGTTGTTAAAATTCTATGTGCTGAAAGTATAAAATGAAATTTATAAACTACAATATTGAAAACAAATTGTTGTTTTCTGTCTATCTGTCTGTCTGTGATTTATATCTATAATTTGTAATATAAGGAACCATCTATTTTCTACGTGGTTTTTTTCACTAGCTTGCCTTATTAAAATGTTGCACACGCGCGCACGCACGTGGATAAGATAAGTAATAATACCCAGTTGCACACCCTCAAGGTCCACGTATTATGTGTGCATAATTTCAGGTTTCTAGGTTCTTTCCTCTTTGTTTGTTTGTTTGTTTTTTGAATTTCGCGCAAAGCTATACGAGGGCTATCTGCACTAGCCGTCCCTAATTTAGAAGTGTAAGGCTAGAGGGAAAGTAGCTAGTCATCACCACTCACCGCCAACTCATGAAGCTATGGTGGTCACATATTCTTTTCTATGTGTTTTTTTCGCTTGCTTACCCCACAAAAAGGATGCAAACGCGCGCACACATGTGTTTAAGTACTAACACCCAGATGCACACTTTCAGGGTTCACCTAGTACGTGTGCAAAATTTCAGGTATCTAGGTATTTCTTCTTGGAGTTATGGCGGTCACATACACACACACACACACACAAACACGCCCTTTTATTATTATAGATATAGCGACTAGACCACTACTATGTCTGTTTTATCCCAGCAGATGTAGTGTGTTTGACATACTATGACATATTGTCCTTTACAATCACTCATGGGTTCTTACAATTACTTTGATAACCAAAGTAGCTTTGTTATCGTCAGTAAACTTGCGTAAGGATCAAAGTTCAACAACACACCACAGAACTTCGTTATTCGCTACATGAATTTTTCGATTACCGTTTATTTTCACGGTGATAAGACATTGCAAACAACGGTTTGGTTTTACCATGTTTTGACACACTCTTCATTACATCTCTGTTGTTGTAGTCTAATAAGTTAAACTATTTCAAATAGTTATGCGATTTATATATTCTCGTGTGTATACAATTAACATTTAGGTGATTTATGTGAAAGCTAGCCTATGTTTAACATTTAGTTTTATTACTTTGAAAAAAACGTTACTCGAATGAAATATTTTAAGGCCTAATTCTATATCAAGATGTGTTGTAAAGGTAAGCCTTTATTTGTTTCTTGATCGTAGTTTTTCAAACAATATTTTAAAAACATAATAACTAGAAAAAATCATTTGTAGTATTAAAAATTTGAAATGCTTTCAGTAAAACTGTAAAATCACCACTTTGCCATTTATATACTTTAAGAACCAAGTAGATTGTGTGGTTCAAAATTTTAGGGACTGTACTTTGTGAACATGATGAAATATCTAATCAAAATGTAAATTAGTATGTTGAAACAAATTTTTGCTGAATTTCTTATTTCACACATAAAATATTTGAAATACAAATTTTCATCGTTTAACTTTGTTACTAATTACAGTTATATATTTACATTTATATTAATTACATGAATCTACTTAAATATATTTGTCAGCCCCTACATGAAGCCACAACCCGAAAGCCTAAAATACTAAGGATTTGATTCTCTATAAAAGCAAAGGTTGTTAACTAGTATGTAGTATATCACAGCCGCTTCCGCTTTGACGTCATCGAACGTTCTGACTCGACCCTATAATATTTTTGTAATATACATTCTATTTAACTGATGCACAGTTAGTTACTTTATGGCTCAATAAGGAATAATAAGAACTCAAGATAACGCTCTTTGTTACAATCCAATACTGCAATGTGTGTAACAATGCTTTTAATTTAAAATATTAAAGAGAGTTTTATATTATTTGGTGAATCCAAGAAATATGTTTTTACACTTTCGTATCTGAATCATGTTATATGTAAAATATTAAACGTTTTTAAGATTAACTACTATGATAAATTTTAATATATATTTATATATATAGTTAATAAATTCACATTTAGCTAATCATTTCGAGTCTTCTCAATTTTCAACTAACTGTTATCAACAATGCTGCTTTTGCATTTTTCTATTGTGTTTTGTATGGATGGTGGTACATTTCAACTAAGATACTTCATGAATAAAAAATAACATTAATAAGTTCCCTGTGAAATGTAGTGAAATATGTACAAAGTAAGAAAATAGTTAATTATAATTGGTATTTTATGTAATATCAACCATTAACATATGTTAACCAAAACAATAAAAATAAGCCTAAAAATCAGGTAAGCTAGCAACTGAAAATATACATGCTGGAAAGCTTAATATGACGTTACGTTTTCAATTCAAAAGCCTTTCTAAGATAAGTACTAGGGCAGTCGCTTGTCAAGCAGATCAACAGTTTTTACAGGCAGATCAGATGCATATGTCTTATTATACACTCATTCTGGACATATATTATTTTCATTCATAAAAAGAGGTTGTTGTTGTTTTCGAGGGAGAAAACAATGTACGCATTTCATAAAAAGAAAGAATGATATTAATATTTTATTATTTTGATAGGCCAGTTCGTTGCACCACTTTCGATTAACTTTATGTTGTTAAGAAACGATTTTTCAAGTTATATTTCTATTTCTAATGTTATTTGAATTCATTTCTATCCTTAGGAGATATTCAGAGTTTTAAGTTTGGAACTTGGCCGTAGAGAACATCTTTAAGATCGTAGTATTTTATCGGAAGCTAATCAATGATAATTATTTTTTCCTTGATTTAAAGGATGTGCCAGATGCATGCTGAAGATTCCATTTCCATCAGTTATCGCCACTGTTATGTGTCTCTCAGGATCTGGGATTTTCTTAGGGTCTGCATATAAAGGAATCACCTTAACCCTACGAATGTACGAAGTCGTTTTTCAAGTGAAAGCTCGAGGGTATGAGTAGGAAGATATTTTTATGTATATATAAATATATATATATATATATTAGGGAAGATCTGTGATTTTTCACTTTAGCGTGATAATAGACTACGACATATAATACAAAGAAGTAATTTAAATTAATGCTACAGATGTGACTGTTTAAGCACACAAATGTTTTATACTTAAAACTGTATTTTTATTACTTTATAGATAGGACGGACCATAACAAACCCCTAAGTAAAGATATTACTTTTGTTGTATTTCGTGGGATGTTTTTAGGAACTTTTATATCAAAGATGAATTGGTAGCAATCGGAAACACTTTTACATTTTTGATATTAAACGAATTCAATGATCATGCAATACACCTAATCACGAACAAAAGTTAATTGTATTTCTTTCACTTTTCCTATATTATGGGGCTCGCTATGATCCACAACATATATACCTATATATATATATGAAATTGATATTTACGTGTTTATCTCTGTTTTTGTCATATTTTCCTAGACTTGGCTTTTTAAGTGTAATCAAACAAAATATAAATAGTTCGATGTTATATAGTGAATAAACACTTAGTTTATGCATTCACACTATCGTACAGAAAATAAACTTTAATACACATTTTACTCAGGACTTTTCTCGAACATCTAAAATACTAAACAATACTGGTGATAAATGATAACATCAAAATAATACACAGTGTACAACAAAATTTTCATGGTTTGATGTAAGGTCCTTCATCACTAATAACCAAACATACTTCAGATATTTAATGAATGGATTAGTCTACGTTATTCCTTTTCCTGTATTCACTGTATATACGTTAATGAGGAGAAGAAAAATCCACAATTAATTTATAACAAATATATATATATATATTTTCATTTTTTGATAATAATATTTCAGTAAGTATTAGTAACTTACATAGCTTACAAAAATAGTACAAAAATAAAGCCATAAATCCCACAGCCTTTGCAAAATTAAATTGAATACATTTTCCTTTACAATACGTTTAAGAATAAGAAAAACTACGAGAGTCATATTTGTTGTTTGTTTGCTGTGTTTAAATAAGAAAACTATACCTAAATATTTATATGTATTAAACCTAAGCCTTATCATTGGACAGATGCTAATACAGTAGTTGATCTTGTAGTTATTTATGAAGGTTTATTTTTGTAAAGTGAAAAATTTCTTCTTAGTCCTGTCTATTGCTTTACCATTTTAATAACCTCTGCTTATGATGCTCCAAAGACATGGTATTGAATAAAGTAAGTCATTTCATTTTGAAAACCTTTCTAACATAAATTTATACGATTTATTCAGATAGTACAGTAATGAATGCCTATTAAAAATAATTACATTTATGGTGAGTTGTGTGGTTAAATTGTATGGAAGTTATAATTCATTTTGCAATATTCTCAGGTGGATCGATTTCTCTTTGATTGATCAGGTAGTTATAGAATAATAGGAGATTTTGTTAGGAAATATTTTATTGGAATGATCCTTAATTCTCTTAACACACAAGCTATAGAACAGTGAATCACTTTTTCATTTCCAAAAACAAAATCAAAGTTTAAAGCAACTGGATTGTATAGTGCCTTTACAGGAGAACTCTCGGAATTTTTAAACCAAATCAATATCTGCAATAATTTCAATTCATTCTGTCCAAGCTAATATACTAAAAGCAACAATGTCATTTTTCTGAAGATGCAAACATTACCCACATGACTGATGGTCACTAGTACTACAACGCAAGGCATCACCTTACTTGCAAGTGGAAAAGATCAGTGTCTATGTCTATACAGTGTGCTCTACCTTACAGAAACTTTCATACAAAAATGTATGTAACACCGTAATTGAATGACCCAGTTTTGTAGGTAACTAGCGTAAGAGGAACTTACTAGTTCCTTTCATCAACATTCTATATTAAGAATACATGCAGTCTACCCCCCAATGGTACAGCGGTATGTCTGCGGACTTACAACGCTAGAAACCGGGTTTCGATACCAGTGGTGGGCAGAGCACAGATAGCCCATTGTGTAGCTTTGTTCTTAACTTCAAACAAACAAACAAATACATACTGTCTATGCACAAAAGTTTATAAAAATTCTATATCAGCTAAAAAACACGTAGTACACTTACATATCACACTTTTTCCTTATCCTTTACCTTAAGGCTGTTCCAGCCATCTCTAATTTTGAAATTTAAAAATGAATTAGAACATCTTACATATCAGTCAAGAAATTGGTATAACTTGCTCTCACCTCAGTAAAATACATACTTACACAATAAGCCAAGCAAATAACTGGACACATAACTTCACACACAGGTCTGTAGTTAGGGTGTCCGACTCGCAATTTTCAAGTCGCAGTTCGAATCATGTCAACGAACATGTCATGCTCGCCATTTCAGCCATGGGGATGTTATAATGAGACAGTCAATCACATCTTTCATCGGTAAAAGAGTAGCCAAAAAGTTGTTAGTGGGTGGTGTTTTGACCATCTGCATTTCCTCTATTATATCGCTTCCAAATTAGGGATAGCTAGTACAGATAGCCCACAAGCTGTTTTGCGTGAAATTCAGCAAACAAATAAACTTGAATAAATAAGATTAAAATTAAAAATTAAAACATACCACCAAATTGAATAATATACAGTAAACAAAATTACATATAAGAATAGCCTTTAAACATCAACTCAAAAAGAAAACAAGAAGTATAATTTAATAAGAAAGTAAAAAATATAATTACAATATAAAACATTATATACATTATTTATAGAATTTTAGAGCCTCGTGCCTTTACTGCAGCCCTGAAAGTAGATACTCCAATACATTGGTCGACTTTTAGCCAACCATGGTCATCTGGTAGATCATCTCTCAGACTTTCACAAAAGCTTTCCAAGTTTGAGCCAGCTTGGCCAAGATAAAACATACCTCTTCCTCCAGCTGCAAAGGTAGATTCTTACACTAACGAAGATTAATGGTCTTTATAATATCTATAAAACACTCAGATCTCCATTTACCTGGCTGTTTGTTCTTTGCAGTTGCACTTTAAGGCTGGTATTTGCTGTATCTACTGAAGCATAAGGGGTTTGGTAAACAACTACTTTCCTGGCTGTGGACCTCCACAGTGTGGGCCTATGACTTCTTTGCAGGCAGAGGAGGTGCGACACCTAATTTGGATGTTCCTATGCTGATGTACAACAATGCAGGAGCTCTGTTCATTGATGGATAGGCTGTAACCACCTAGCTTTTGTTAAGACCTTGCTTGTACGTGGATAAGCTCCAAAATGATCTGTATTCCAGGAAGGTCCTATTGATTTTGAAAGATGGTGCTCAGACGTAGGTAAATGCACATCGGGTGCCAGTGACGTTTCACCACCTGGTATCTTCCAGTATGATACTTTACAATCCATGAACAAGTCACAGAAGATTTAGGTGGTTCCAGTTTAATGAGAGTCAGTGTGGATCCTGGAGTAGGCTTTCTCTGTCAAATGGGCGAGATCGTATTGGAAGTGGTCAGCTCCGTGGTTGCTGTATAGACTCCAGTGATTCGGGAGGCCAGTTCATCCATGGCTACAATCAGAACCTGTATACCTGATGAGATGGTGAGTGACATATCTTCATCCATCAGCCTTGACTCTACATGGCCAAATGTCAGGTTAATCCTCAGAGTCTTAATGGCCACAGAGCAAATGGAGATTTTTGGAAGTTTCCAAACAGACAAGTTTCTAGTAAGCAGTAGGTTGTAAGACTGCTAACAAAAAATATAATACCACAAAGGCTATTTGAGAGCAAAACACACAGAAGGTTTAAGAACCTAATTGAATTTTTGAGTGATCAAAATTTTAGCTGAAAGTGTAGGTTAAAGTTATAATGGCTTAATTACAATAATTCTTTACCCTAAAATTTCCCTAAGAGTGTGTAAAAACTATTGCTGTGGTTAAGTGATATTTCTACAGGCCTACATCCACTCAAGTGTATATTACCTGAAAAGAATGTATCCCTTCTACCTTTAAATGCCTTGATCTCTCAGGTTTAATGGGTATCATGCTTGCCCTACATACAAATCAAATCCTTTATTTTCATTCATATGCTGCTTGATAGTTGCATTCTCAGTGTACTTGGTCCATCCATTTTCTAAATCTTTCAGGGATGTCTTTCTGTAACATCTATACATTTGTGCAACACCATACACATATATTCATTTATTCAAATATGTATATTGCCATATGTATATATATCTTGACAGTACACATCGTCACATATACCAGTAGATGTAAACAGACTACCTCCGACAGGAGAAATATTCATGCTGTCATTATAGTATATATCAGTATATCACAGACAACCTTGGATGATTAAAATATTCTGCAATAAAATAAATTCACTGTCCCAGACAGCTGCTAACCAGTAGCTAAGGTGGCAAGATACTGTATCTTTGTTTGCTAGTTAATCCTCTCAATTTAGTAAGCATCATAAAAAGTAAATGCAGGTCAGTCCAGTGAAATTAAGACTATTCTATTTAAATACATAACAACCTGATTGACTTTCTTTCAGAGAAAGAACACAACTCCCTCACTGCACATGGAGAAGGTATATACACTTTAGGTGTAAAGTAGATGAGTCTAGTGAGCTTTATGCAGTTTCTTAATAGAACTTCTGCAAATACTTGGTTAGTCTAGATGAAAAATTTTCACAGAATGTAAGATGACATGTTGCTTGAGAAAATTTCTCTGTATCTCCGAAAGCAAGGTTCACAATATCCTTTCAGCTAAGTTTCAAAATCATAACAATCCTCCTCAGTCCTATAAACTAATGATATTGTAGGCATTATACCTATAAACACCAGCAGGCCTAGTTGTGTGATAATGAAGCAAGTACCACCAGATGTTTTCCTTAAGGGTTATAATGCTCTTTCAATCCCATTAATCCTATGATCAACAATGCATCCTAATTCTGTGACACTATAGCAACTACAACCGATATCTCTCCTTGAAACTGCAAATC